TAGTGAAGCCAGAGAAACATAAATAAGCCAAAAATATTTACTATCTGGTACTTTACAGAAGGGAGCTCTGGTGACTTAGTGCCTAAGGCACTTGACTGTTAACCAGAAGGCTGGCAGTTCAAACCCACCAGCCACTCCTCGGAAGGAAGGTTGGGCAATCTACTTCTGTAGTGATACCACCTCGGAAACCCAAGGATGGGTCGCTATGAGTCGGATCTGACTCAACAGCAACGAATTTGGTTTTTGTGGTTTTATAACTGAATCAGAATCTCCATTTTAATAAGATCTCCAGGTGATTCCCCATGGAATTTTTTTAAAATGTAAATTCTGATTCAGTATATCTGGGGTGGAAATACAAATTCTCAGTGGGGGTCTAACTAGAATAAATCCATTAAAATTGTTCTTAAGATAAAAGATTATAGTATCTCAAGGAGGGTATAAGTCTTTCTCTTAAAAGTTAATTCATTTATCTCTATTCCTTATCTCTAACTTACCTTTCTTCCTCCCCCTTGCTTAAATTCTTTATTTTTCTAGATAAATGACCTCCAGATTTAATTTTTCTAAAATGGTTATATAAGAGCTCACGTATTACAATGCAATACAGACAAAGCTGTTTAAGGTAGCAATGCTGGAACAATAACATTTTTTATACTTCTTCCCAAAGGAAGCTCTTACGACATGTATAAATTTATTACCTATACTTGCCCTGGAGAAAATTTATAATTAATTTATTTAATTGCACTAACAGTAGATTAACTGGATGCCCTTTCCTGGATTAGAATGCTAGTACAAGTTCTCCACAAACTTTTTGCTCATCAAAGATGTTTTACTCTATGACGTTTACATCAAAGATGTTTGAACTCCTTACTCCCATCCCACTCCTACCCTTACCCCAAACATTTAATAATAATAATTAGTTTTCTAGTTAAAAAGACAGGAATAGCTTATTGAAAATCATGTGACTGGAGGAGTATTTGAGTACTGAAGAATCATATAGTATATAATATGGGTAGGTAGTGTTAGCTCATGTTTCTACTTATTTGATTTCTCATTACTTTAATGTCTTAAAAATAAATTTAAATTTTGATTTTGATTTTTATGCACACCCAGCAAAGATTGTAAAAATGAAGAGATTATGGCTGGTGAATGTCAGTTAGCAGCACTGGGCCCAAAACCTCTGTACTTATTGGTGCCACCTTTAAATCTAAGTGCTCATCAAGAAGATACAATCCTGAGACCCTGGATGAATGGTACTGTTTTCTTAATAAAATGCTATTGGCTTTTGGTAAACTATATAGGATATTCTTTCATCAAAACAAACACTAGATTTTTTTAATTTTGAAGCAAGTATAGACTGTACTAAAATTAGAAGATATGTGTACATTTACTCAGTACTTTTAACAGAACTATTGCTGAAATAGTCATATGTAATGGTGGTACATAAATTACATGTTATATTTTAAAAATTCAAATTTTAATTTAATATTTGTATATATATTTTAGAATTTGAGTCAGTTTTTTGATAATTCATACATAATACTTTAAACAAACTACATGGAAGAATAATTTAAAATCTGTAAAATCACCTTGGGTACCTTAGACCTCACTCACTCTTCTGTACCTTCTCATTATTGACTTCATGCTGCCTAATGTTGTGCACCATAGCAGCAACCCATCAATGACCACAAGTTTTATTTTAAAAAGTCTTATGGTACAAATTACAGCAAAACTATGCACCAAAAACATCAGCTTGTTTCAGATATGTCTTGGTGCTGCCAAGGTGAAAAATGAAATGATTTTAAATGAAAATACTTTCATTGTTATTTTATCTTTAAAAAAGAATTTTTTTTAATGTTCTAAATCTCATTTTAAAAGACCATACATTAAAAATGGTTATGATCCTTAGGTTTGTCAATAGGTTTCTTCTCTTAGAAAAATTTATTGTGTGTAATATTTGTGTTTAACTTAGAGCTGTGGTTTCTCTATGCTGGTATGTAAGGCTTTTTCACTGTTAGTGAGTTTGTAATTTTAAATTCAGGTTTAGAAATAATTTAAGGGCCCTTAGGATGTAAACCATTAGGTATTTCATAGTAACATATCATGGCACCGTAGTCTGTAAATTGAACATAAATATTCCCAAGGAAAATGTTAACGTACTTGGTAGTGATCATCTGTTTCATTGTTATGAAAGAATAAATTCTAACATAACGGTATATAATGTCATTGTTAATTATTTCTAGATTTCAGATTTCCAGGAAAACATTCCCTCCTAAAGTTTCAGAATGCTGAACCTTGTGAAATATTTAAGAGGGAGAAAAATCTAGGGGTAAGTCTCCCACTTTTTAAAAAATTAATCTGATAAAATATTCACTTTAGGGTCCTTCTGGTTTTCCTGTCTGTCTACATCTTTTAAGCGGTTCTCAGCATTATATAAATACTAGAATGGGGATTGGTGGTAAAAAGGAAAAAGTAAGTATTGACTCAAGGTATTCATAAGTAATATAAAAGGTTGAAAGGAAAAAAGAGTGAACACATAAAGAGAAAATACAGGATAGTTCCTTGTGATGAAAGAGCAAGATGTCAAAATAAAGCAGCTTATGGGAAAAGCATGTTGTAAAAAGCTGTGATTCTGTCCTTTACCTTTTTTATTAATCAGAAAAGCTAAGGAGAGTTTTTGGTCCTAATAAATGCATTGGAAATATGATGTATATTATAGTAGAATTAACTTTTGTAGAAGTAGGGGCCAGGTACATGAGAGGGAGAAGGGAATGTATAAACTTTAAAATATGTAAACTAAAATAATAATAATAACCTTGATATGGAGTATTTTATGCTAAGGGAAATTGAGAAAATGTACTGATAAATAATTTTAAATGGCTTTTTTTGTTTGTTATGCTTAAAAATGTAAATTGCTTAGAGTTTTATTTTCTTATCAAATTAGCAAGTGATTTATCTTGATACTGTTTTGAGTATATAATATTTCTGGTTGCTTCAGATGCCTTCTCACTTGATTATAGAAATGTTTTGTAGTTAACACTGAAATGGAATTTGTCAAATTTTCTAGGTGTTCCAGAAGCCTCTAGGGTTAATGATACCCCATAGATACTGCAAATTTCATTTTAATACATTACGTGGCTGTGAACGATCACAGTGCAAGTTTGCACATGTCCCTGAACAAGGGGATGAAAAGGTAAAATGTATAAAGTTTTGAAGTAGAAATTGTTTTCATAATTATCTCAATCATGCATTTTAATTAAAGTTTTCATAGATTCCTAATAATATAGATGAATTTTGCCTGTTTTTGTGCTTTATGTAAATGGATTATAAAATATGTATACTTTTCTGTCTAGATTCTTTTGTTCAGTATTTTTGAGATTCATCTATATTTTGTACTTAATTGTAGATGTTCCTTTCTCATTGCTGTATAATATTTATTCTATTGTCAGAATGTATCAAAATTTATTTTGTTGTTATATGTTACTGTTGTGGGTATTTGGATAGTTTTGAATATTATAATAATAATGCTATCGGTATTCTGCATTTCTTTTGGTGAATATAACATTCTTATGCTTTATACTGGAATTGGGGGGTTGTATAAGGTATGTATATGTTCAGCTTTAATAGATATTGCCAAATTATTTTCCAGAGTGGTTGTACAAAATTACAGTTCAGTCAGCAATATCTGAGAGTTCTGATTGCTTCACATCTTCATCAGCTTTTGGTATTGTCAGGCTTTTAATTTAACCGTTCTTGTGTAGTGGTAGTTGATGTTTCACTGTGGTTTTAACTTGCCTGATGATTGATGAAATTGAGCATCTATCCAAATGTTTATTAGACACTTGAATAGGGACTTTTTTGTTGATATTTGTGTGTGTGTGTGTGTGTTTTGTTTTTTTAATTATCTAAGTCCTCTACTTATATTCTCTGGGATTTTTTTATTTTTCTTACTGATCTGTGAAAATTCTTTATATATTCCAGATCCAAGTTGTTTTTTGGAGATTGTGTGTATGTGTATATACATATATAAAACATCTTTTTCTACTTTACAAACTGATTTTAATTCTCTTAGAGGTGTTTTTTGATAAACAATTTCCTAATTTTTATATAGGCCAGTTTGTCAACTTTTATTTTATGATCTTAACATTTTGCATCCTTTTGGAGAAATCTTTGCCAAGATCATGAAGATGTTCTCCTTTTAAAAGTTTTATTGCATTATGAATTTAGCAGTCTAATCCATCTATAATTGATTTTTGTTTATGATGTAACAAAAGGGTCAAAATACATACTCTTTCCAATTTGGATCTTATTAAAAAGACTACCTTTTCCCCCACACTGTAGTGTCACCCATGTCATACATCAGCTAACTGTATATGACGGGGTGTATTTCTAGACTCTCTTCTAATCCATCAGTCAAAGTGTTTATTCTTGCACCACTAAATGGATATTTTTTAAATGGCCTTAATAAGGATTTTGTAATTGAATTCGTATGTATTTTAATCTGAGTTAACCTAATATCAGCCTTTTTATTCCAATGCTTTAATCTCATTTTTAAAAAGTTGGCATAAGCAAGAAGATAGGATTGAAATTTATGTAGTTTTTATGAAATACAGAAAGGTAATTTTACATTTTTTGTTACTTTGCAGATGTGCATGGATGTGTTTAAGAAATACATAAATATCAATGAGTTGTGTTTGCTACAACGTGCAGGTATTAAACAATTGAATAGTTAATATGAATTCATTAATGTGGGTATTTCAAGCACTACTGTTATATCTTACAATCTGAAAGTAAATTTGGTACCTTAGGTATGCAAACTGAATGTTTACTTAAGAATGGCTTGTCCTAACAAAGATGAACCCTTTTGCACATATAGTACTTTGTTGTCAGTGAACGCAAACATGGGTATATGGGTGCATAGATGGGTATGTAGCAGGAAGTGTACCCAAGACCGTGTATAGGTTTGGCAGACAATGGTTCTGTAAGTATATTTGTATATTCTGTAAGAATTCCCAGGGGTATAGTAGAGCTGACAAGGGACAAGGTTGTAGTCACTTCTTGGTCACAGCTAGCTACCCAGAGGGACTGAGTAGTTGAACCTGTGGGCTCAGAACCATAGTCTCAGGGGACATCAAGCTTAATTGGAATAACATACTGCACAAAATATTGTTCCATCTCCTACTTTGGTGAGTAACGACGGGGATCTTAAAAGCTTGCAAGCAGCCATCTAGATGCAATGATGGGTCTCTCCTCGTCCAGAGCAAAGAAGAATGAAGAAAACCAAAGATTCATGGAAACAATTAGTCCTAGAGACTGGTACACCATCTGATCTGCAGCCTATACGACTATGAGACCAGAAGAACTAGATGGTGCCTAGCTACCATTGTCATCCACTTGGAAGGGGATCTGTGTAGGAGATCCTTGATAGAGAGGGAGAACAATGTGGAACAAAACTCAAAATCATTTGGGAAAAAAAAGGGGGACCAGGTTTGCTGGTCTGATAGAGCCTGGTGGAACCACTGAGACTACGGCCCCTAGCTGCCCTTCAGGTCTGGAGTTGAACCTACACCTGTGGCTTCCAGCCAAATAAAAGACAGGCATATGAGTTGAACATGTACATGAGGTAGATACACTCCTTGGAGAGAACAATCATGGGGGAAAAAGGGGCTATTTATGCATAGGAAGACAGTTCAGGGGGCAGGAGTGCATGGAGAGATGGACACAGGGAAGAGGTAACTTTCGGGAGGAAGTGGGAGGGGAGCTGTTGCATTGTGGTAAATTGTAGTCAATGTCATGAGACAAAGTGTATGTGAACTGCTCAATGGAAAGTGAATTGCTCTATAAACTTTCACCCAAATCACAATTTAAAAAAACAAAAAATAGAGGAAAAAAAAAAAAAGAATGGCTTGTCTTAAAGTAATCAAAGGACATACAAAAGATATAAATTTGATTATATAAATTTTTAAAGATATTTGCATCACAATTGTTTTAGATTTAATGTTGGTAATATGCCAAAATATTCCAACTACAAGAATAACGAGCTCAGTCGGCTATTAACAAAGGTATCAGCAGACATTGTATTTCCTCTTTTGAGAATCAGAAACAGTTCTGGAGAGGAAAATCAGTAGTTACTGATCCGAATCACTAGAATGTGTGTGTTTCTGATCCAAGAAAAAAAGTAAAAGTACCCAATACTGTTAAGTTACTGGTGAAGTGACATTATGATTAGTCAAAACTCTTTTATAAAACAATGTATCTAACAGAGTTTTCTGAAGAGGAAATCAGAATAATAATACCATTTACAATTACCATTCAAAAGGTGAAATATTTAGGAATAAATCTCCTAAATATATACAAAGAAAACTACAAAACACTACTGTAGGAAACTAAAAGAGATCTGCATAAATGAAAGAATATATCATGCTCATGGATAGGGAGACAACATTTTGAAAATATAAATACTACTGAAAGTGATCTACGGATACAATGCAATCCCATTCCATCATCACTCTTTAAAGAAATGGGAAAACTAATCACCAACATTATGTGAAATGGAAAGAGACCCCAGAGGGCAAAGCACTACTAAAGAAGAACAAAGTAGGAGACCTCACACTCCCCAATTTCAAAATTTACCACACAGCCACGGTAGTTAAAACAGCCTGTTACAGGTACGATGACAGACACAACACCAGTGGAACAGACTTAAGAACCCGGAAGTAAATCCATCCACTTACGGACAGCTGGAGTTAGAAACATCCCCAGATTCAAAATGGATTAAAAAAACAAGAAAGGGTGTGTCAAAATAGTCTGCGTCCTTCCCCACACTGTACAATTTCTCACAAGTAGTGAGACCACTGCCTCACGACTGAAGTAGTTTGACTCCCTGGGAGTTCATATAGAGATCATGATGTGTTTGGCAGATTAGACCTCTTCATTGTAGATAACACATTGAGTTAGCTCCTAATCTAGTGATAAGTATGCCTTGTTTACTTAAAATATTACTGCCATTTTGACTTTTGCATAATATTTTTATCAAATATTTTTGATACTGGAAGCGTGCCTTTCAAGACAATCAGCTTATACTAGTTTAAATACTACATTTAAACTTAATTCTAAAAAATATTTAAATGTGTTTAATTTGTTTAAATTTAATATCTAATCATTACATTTCCTATTTAAATTTAAATAGAGTGAAAGCTTAGAGTATATTTAAATAGAAAAAAATTATCTAAAAAAGATGGGTATCTTAAAAACAGTAAATGACTTTAATATATTTTCATTTTCAGTAAGCATGTTTATAGAGTACTACAGAAAGTTCCCTCCAGGTATACACTTTGATTTACAAGTGCTAAATGACCTTCTAAGTTCTTTACTCAAACATTGTTTATTGAAAGAAGTATTTCAAGTAGTGAACCTCAGCATCATGCTTAAAATGCTGGTGAGTAACCTAAAAATATGTATTTATCAATTTTAAATGAATTTCTCTATTATATTTGTTGTTTGTATGATATAGTGGTTATATTTCTGTACTTGTTGAATACTTTCTAGAGAATACTTGTATTTTTTTTAGCATAAATGAGTTTGAGATTCTCAAGGTGCACTGAAAGAAGACATGGAAATGACTATAATTTTTCTGTTTTATCCAGCCTGCTCTGAAAATACTACTAAACTTATTTGAACATGTGGCAACTATGAACTTAAGGAATGTTGTACCTGCTTTAATTGCTATCTTTTGCAAGGTATGATTTTATTTTCTCTGTTTTATTCTCTGATAATGAAGAACCAGAAAATAATAATTTCCATTTACATCCTTCAAATGCCTTTTATTCACATCATGCATGCCAAAGAATACTATTTTCAGAAAAATTCGTTTTTTCCTGAATTAGGTTTTATGAACAGACTCTAGAGGCTGACAAGCTTTCCCCTTAAATAAATAGTTTCAAGCACCTGAGGTGACTCTTTTCTGGTTTGGGGATTGTACTCATTGCCGTCAAGTCGGATCCAAGTCATAGGACCCCTCCTTGAGTTTCTGAGGCAGTATCACTACAAAAGTAGACTGCCCCATCTTCCTTCCAGGGAGTGGCTGATGGGTTTGAACCTCCAGCCTTCTGGTTAGCAGTCACATGCTTTAGGCACTATGCCACCAGAATTCCTCCCTCTACTCCATAAGGATGATTAAAGAAAATTCTCTTTCCCCAAAAGACTTGAGATCCTTTAGAACAAAAACAAATATACAAATTAACATATAAATAGAAAATCATGACCAAAACAAAGAAAGTCAACACACAGAAATGTGGTGGCTAGGATTTAAGTTTTAAATTTGCCTCTAAACAAAAAGAGAAATAAGAACTTTATATGGCTCCATAAAAAATACATTAGAATTTTGTCTTTTGGTACAGTATTTGATGCTATTCAACCAGCCCACTTCAAAATAGGTATAATAGCAGAAAAATCCCCTACTTTCTTTAGGAAGTAATATTAGAACCATTCTAGTAGGTGAATGAGCTCTGGTGGCATAGTGGTTAAAACATTCAGCTGTTAACCAAAAGATCAGTGTTTCAAATCCACTAGCCGCTCTGTGGGAGAGAGAATAAATGAATAAATATTTCAGTGAATACTTCTAGTTCCATATCACAAAACTTGACAAAATTACTTGCATGGAAATTTTTTAATGCAGAAGTTACTGGTCACCTGTAGTAGTTATAGGAACTCAGTAAGGGATCCGATAAATTGCCTGATACTGAGTAACTTGGCTTTCTGCAAAATGTACTCCAGTTATTGTACAAATAAATTTGCTAATAATGGAGAATGTCAGACAAAGGCAGTGATTTTATTTCTGTGTGCTTAATATAGAGTCATTATTTCTAGAAGTTGTTTGATATCAGTACCAATTTCCATGTACCAGTTTCTATGTTGAGACTGTTTTAGAGTTCAGTGATGATTAAAAGCATATAATTATCATAGAAAAGAATTCTTTTCCTCTTTCTCGCTGGAGCAGTGCACCATACCTGCATCTCATTAACATACATGTCATTAAGAAAGGGGCAATTAACAGCTTATTTTGGACTGTTTAAGTTGTTACCTACTTTGTCAAGAAACAGTTTCTCTTTACCCTGATTTTTGAGCAGTATTAAAAGGCAGATTTTTTTAATGTCATTAACCAGAAAACTAAATTGTTCTTTTGCAGATTTGGCATGGTCCATTAAGCAAAATGTCACTCCTTGGTCAGTGAAATTTATAGATATACAAATAGTGATTCTTTTGAATGCTACAGAGCATCACAGTAAATAAATAATCTTGGTGCTTGCTTCTTCATAAAATTTGGAAAACTACCTGTCAAGGTAGTGAGCTGGTAGGTTTAAGAGAGAAGCTGTTTTCCTTTGTTACGATGAAACTGAACATCCGGAAGACCTGGTATAAATAGTTTAAGGATCAGAGCCTAATGTTTAGAACAGGATTTAAGCAATTATTTTTACAAAGTTTTCACCAAAAAATTTTTAACTTTTTTAATCATACAAGTTAGTGTAGGACTTTCTAATACACATTTAAAAGAGATCTAGTGCCAACAAATTTGAGACTGTTTTCCTGGGAATCCAAAGATAGAGAAATTTTCTCAGTAGCATTTTACCATTATCTTTCATTAAAAATATATATCAGTTATAAATTCTAACAGCCAAATTACAGGGTTTCACACCAAAGTTTATTTTACGTAATACTTTTTTTTTTCCCAAGGTGTTATTTTATTTATTTATTTTTTTAAATTGTGATTTGAGTGAAAATTTACAGAGCAAATTCACTTTCCACACAGCAATTCACATACACTTTGTCTCATGACATTGACCACAATTTACCCCAATGCAACATCTCCCCTCCTACTTGCTCCCAATAGTTACTTCTTCCCTGTGTCTATTCCTCCATGCACTCCTGCCCCCTGAGCTGTCTTCCTGTGCATAAGCAGCCCTTCTTTCTCCCATGATTCTTCTCTCCATGGAGTGTATCTGTCTCAGGTAAATGTTCAACTCATATGCCTGTCTGTTGTTGGCTGGAAGCCACTGGTGTGGGTTCAACTCCAGACCTGAAGGGCAGCTAGGGGCCGTAGTCTCAGTGGTTCCACTAGGCTCTATTGGACCAGCAAACTTGGTCCCCCTTTTTTTTTTTCTTTCCAAATGATTTTGAGTTTTGTTCCACATTGTTTTCCCTCTCTATCAAGGATCTCCTACACAGATCCCCTTCCAAGTGGTTGACAGTAGTAGCCGGGCACCATCTAGTTCTTCTGGTCTTACAGTCATATAGGCTGCAGATTGGATGGTGTACTAGTCGCTAGGACTAATTGTTTCCACGAATTTTTGGTTTTCTTCTTCTTTGCTCTGGATGGGGAGAGATCCATCGTTGTATCTAGATGGCTGCTTGCAAGCTTTTAAGATCCCAGTCTCTACTCGCCAAAGTAGGAGGTAGAACTATGTTTTGTGTAGTGTTTTATGCCAATTGAACTTGATATCCCCTGTGACTATGGTCCCAAGCACACAGGTTCAACTAACTACTCAGTCCCTCTTGGTCTGGCTGTGACCAAACAGTGACTACAACCTTGCCCCTTGTCAGGTCTACTATACACCTGGGAATTCAGAACATACACATAAACTTATAGGACCATTGTCTGCCAATCCTATACATGTTCCTGGGTACACTCCCCAATTCATAGACATACCTAATAGTTCAGCCTGTCCACCCATCTATCCACCTGTATACCCATGTTTGCCTTCACTGACAACACAGTACTGTATGTGTAAAAGGGTTCATCTTTGTTGTCCGTACCTCCCATGTACCTTTCTATGTCTTTCTCTTCCTCAGTGCCACCATACTGGTCACTCACATTTGGTACATTGCCCTTCTTTTCACCCAAATCAATACTTATCTCTGTCTATCTAACAGTGTTCCCTCCCTTCCCCTTCCACCCCTGGTAACCAACAAAGAAAATGTCCTTCCATAGATAAACATTGCCTTGACTTTTACAATAATGGACTAATACAATATTTGTCCTTTTGTGATTGACTTATTTCACTCAGCATAATATCCTCCAAGTTCATCCACATTATGCAGTGTTTTGCAGATTCTACATTATTCTTTAGGGTTGCATAGTATTCCATTGTGTGTATGTACCATAGTTTAGTTATCCATTCCTCAGTTGATGGACACCTAGGTTGTTTTCATCTTTTGGCTATTGTAAATAGTGCTGCGATGAACATGGGTGTGCATATATCTGTTCTTGTCAGGGCTCTCACTTAGGATATATACCTAGTAGTGGAATAGCTGGGTCAAATGGTATTTCTAGTTCCAACTTTTGAAGAAATCACCATACTGCTTTCCACAAGGGTTGTACCATTTTACAGTCCCACCAGCGGTGTATGAGAGTCCCAATCTCTCCAAAACCTCGCCAGCATCTGTTATTTTCTGTCTTGTTGAACTTTGCTACTAGTGCTGGAGCAAGATGGTACCTCGTTGTTTTGATTTGCATCTCTTTAATAGCTAATATCATGAGTATTTCTTCATATGTTTGTTGACCGCTTGAATATCCTCCTTGGTGAAGTGTCTATTCATGTCTTCTGCCCATTTTTTAATTGGTAGTTTGTCTTTTTTGCTATTGAGGTGTTGGAATTTTCTATAAATTCTAGAGATAAGTCCCTTGTCAGATATGTCATTTCCAAATATTTTTTCCCAATCTGTAGGTTCTCTTTTGACTCTTTTGGAGAAGTGTTTGGAAGCACATAAAAATTTAATTTTTAGAAGGTCCCAGTCATCTAGCTTCTCTCCTATCTTGTGCATTTTGAGTTATGCTTGATAGTCTATTTATATTATATATTAGGGCCCCTAAATTTGCCCCTAGTTTTTCCTTGAGGAACTCTAGTTTTAGGTTTCAGATTTAAGTCTTTGATCCATCTGGAATTCGTTTTTGTGTATGGTGTGAGGTACAGATCTTGTTTAATTTTTCTGCAAATGGATATGCAGTTTTGCCAGCAGCATTTATTAAACAGACATTCTCTTCCCCATTTAATGGATTTTGGCCCTTTGTCAAAGATCAGCTGACCATAGGTAGATGGGTCTATTTCTGGGTTCTCAATTCTATTCCATTGGTCTATGTATCTGACTTAATACTTTTAAGAACAGTAAAAAGTATGGAGTATTGTAATTTAGTATATTTTGAGGTAGTTCCCACACATACACACTCACACACACACACACACACACACACACACAGTTTCCTACTGTTGTTTTATTATCCTACCCCAAATTGTTACTTCCTGACACAATTTTCAAATCTAGATTGGGGAAGTAAGGCATACAGTTTCCCAGACATCCAAAACCATTTACATATTTGAGTAATTTCTGAAATGGGGACATTGCCTATGCCTAGAATGGAACCATAGAGGATTCCCAGGAAACATGCTGCTTACAGAATTCAAACACCCTTCAATTGACTCTATCTTAACTTGCTAATTTTCCCAGTACCGACCCATTCCCAGGGTGGTATTGGAGGACCTCATCATAATACCTTTGGGCAGAGACCAACAGGATTATTGGAGCTGAGGCATTTGGTAAGACTGCCAGCTCAAAACCTTGTACCTTTCCTGCCCTTCCCAGGAAATGTAGTATCTTAGACCTGTCAGAAAAAGCCTGCCTTTCATCCAGTTATTCTCACGCCAGAAATATCCAGATACTCCCCTGTTGGCTCGCTCCATTGAAGCTAGGGTATATTGATTTTTAAAAGGGAAATCAGTGATTATTTGATTCTTTTCTAGACAAGGCTCTGTGTGAGGCACAAGAGAAATACCTCTCAGGAAGTTGACAATCAGGGATGGGTCAATGCCTATACTAAAAGATTGAGTGCCAAACAAGAGGTACAGTGATAAAAAACTTAAGATAATTAGGAGAATAGGAAGAAAAATTAGAGCCAAATTTTGAATTCAAGATTATTATTTTCATTTTTGTTTTTGAATAGAGTATCTTATTGAGGTTCTCAAATATCTGAACCAAATATGCTCCAAATTTTTGAAGTATTTTAATTTTACTTGTCTCCATGTTTCACTTCATTGTTCATCAGTCTTTTAGTGGTTTCACACACTTCAGCTTCTCAACTCTTTCACATTTTTATAAGAATGAGTATTTTTCTTTTCTACAGCTTGTTGAAGCTGGGATGGTACTTGACCCAGAACACTATAACTATATTGTTAAGCTCTTATACCAAGTACAAGCTTCCAAACAAGAAATAACTACAATTCTGGAAATGAAATCCAGGTGAGAAAAAGCATTATAATTAAGGCTAACATGTATGTATTTTAATGGGTATTTTGAAGACTGAAGGCAACATACCTCTATTCTTATGTGTGTGGGAGCTCTGGTGGCGTAGTGCCTAAGACACTTGAGTGCTAACCAGAAGGTTGGCAGCTCAAACCCAGCAGCCACTCCTCGGAAGGAAGATTGGGCAATCTGCTTCCGTAGAGATACCACCTTGGAAACCCAAGGAGGGGTCGCTCTGAGTAGGAGACAACTTGACGGCTCATAACAACAACAACATTCATATGTGTAAATATCTAGATAGTTGCTCATTTTTAACCGTTTTCCTGTCTCTTGGTAATATCCTACCTTTGTCAAGCTGCCTCTAGCCAACCTAGATCCTCAATGGATCTTTCTCAGTACTTCATTTCATCACATTTGATGCATCAAGTATAAAAGGATTCTCTAGACTATCTTCTATTTCACAGCTTAGTTAATTCCATTTAATGAGCTGTCTTATATGTATAGGTGGTTGCTGTTAGCTGCTGTCAGCATTGTGTAACCCATGCACTGTGGAACAAAACCTACATGGGTCCTGTGCCATCCCCATGATTGGTTACAAATCAAACCGTTGTGATCCATAAGGTTTTCATTGGCTGATTTTTGAAAGTAGATAACCAGGCCTTTCTTCCTTTTATATAGATAAAACCAGTTGCTGTTGAGTTGGTTCTGACTCATGGTAACCCCTTGTGTGTCAGAGTAGAACTGTGCTCCATAGGGTTTTTAGTGACTGAAGTAGACCATTAGGCCTTTCTTCCCAGGCACCTCTGGATGGACTTGTATCTCCAACCTCTTGGTCAGCAGACAGCTAATGCATTAACTAATTGCAACACCCATGGGCTGTATGCATATAAATTACCTTAATTCTTTTCTTCTCTTTCACTCACTTCTTGTCGTGTTGGTTTAATGAAATCCATTAATGCCTATCCCTCATTCTTGCCCTCACGTGTTCACTTTTTCTATTCAGCTTATGGACCTCCAAAGGACTTTTTTCTCTTTCACTCACTTCTTGTCATGTTGGTTTAATGAAATCCATTAATGCCTGTCCCTCATTCTTGCCCTCACGTGTTCACTTTTTGGGCCTCCAAAGGACTTTGCTTTTTTTTTTTTTTTAACCTCTGATGATTATAAAAGTAGTACCACAATATACCTGTGTTGAATAAAAGGAAAGCCATTAATTTTCAAACTTTTTATTAAAGTGTAGCATACATAGAGAAAAGTATGCAAATCCTAAGTATTTAAATGAACCATAACTTTTTAAATGATTTATTTAATTTTTGTTGTTGAAAATGTATAGAGCAGACCAAACTCACTGCCATTGAGTCAATTCCAACTCATAGTGACCCCTGCTTGGGTTTCCAAGGCATATCACTATGGAAGTAGATTGCCCAACCTTCCTTCTTAGGAGTGCTGATGGGTTTGAACCTCCAGTCTTCTGGTTAGCAGTCAACTGCCTTAGGCACTACACCACCAGAGCTTCCATATAGAGCAGAACATGCACCAATTCTACAATTTCTACATATATAATTCATTGACATTGATTATATTCTTCAAGTTGTACAGCCATTCTCACCCTCCTTTTCTGAATTGTTCTTCCCTCATTAACATAAACTTACTACCCCTTAAGTTTCCTATCTAACCTTTTGAATTGTTGGGTACTTAATCTCATATGGATAGTTCTTTTAAAGAGCACAATGCTCAAGGCAGACAGTCTTAACTAATTACGCTAAACTATTGTTTAATTTAAAGACTTCAGGGAATATTTTTTGTTTAATATTTAAAGATTATTTCAGGGCAATAGTTTCAGGGGTTTATGCAGCCTCACTGGCTCCAGAAAGTTTAGATTCCATGAAAATTTGAAATTATGTTCCATATCTCTCCCTTTTAATCAAAGATTTTTAATAGAATCTTTGATCAAAATTGAACCATAACTTTTTAAATCATATTTGATAAAATAAATGGTATCAATCACTGAAATCCTTGAGAAGCCCAGAAATCTCCTGCAGAGAGCTTCCACAAACTATTTGTGTCTCATTCCTCATTATACTTTAATGCAAAGGTTCTCAAATTTTCTTGCTGCACAGTATCCTTATTGTTATTACTCATACTTGCCTTTGTGTCATATCCGATTAATGGCAACCCCATGTGTACAGAGAACTATTCCCTAGGGTTTTCAAGACTGTGACCTTTTGGAAGCAGATTGCCAAGCCTGTGTTTCAACAGTGCCCCTGGTGGGTTTGAATTGCCAACCTTTCAGCTAATAGTGACCAAATAGATGTCAGAAGAGACTCTGAAACTTGCCCTTGAATGGAGAGTAGCTAAAGCAAATGGAAGAAATGACAAGATAAAAGAGCCGAACAGAAGATTTCAAAGAGCAGCTCAAAAAGACAAAGTTATTATAATGAAATGTGCAAAAATCTAGAGTTAGAAAACCAAAAAGGAAGAACATGCTCAGCCTTTCTCAAGCTAAAAGAACTAAAGAAAAAATTTAAGCCTTGAGTTGCAGTATTGAAAGATTCTATGGGCAAAATATTGAATAATGCAGGAAACATCAAAAGAAGACAGAGGGAATACACAGAGTCACTGTACCAAAAAAAATTGCTCAATGTTTATCCATTTCAGGAGGTAGCATATGAGCAAGAACCAATTGTATTGAAGGAAGTGGTGAAAAACAAGGCTCCAGGAATTAATATAATACCCATTGAGTGTTTCAACAAATGGATGCCATGCTGGAGGCATTCACTTGGCTATGCCAAGAGATTTGGAAGACAGCTACCTGACTGACTAGAAGAGAGCCATATCTGTACCCATTCTAAAGAAAGGTGATCCCACAGAATGTGGAAATTATCAAACAATATCATTAATATCACACACAAGTAAAATCTTACTGAAGATAATTCAGAAACAGTTACAGCAGTATATTGACAGAGAACTTCCAGAAATGCCAGCTGGATTCAGAAGAGGACGTGGACCGAGGCATATCATTGCTGGTGTCAGATGGATCTTGGCCAAAAGCAAAAATACTAGAAAGATGTTTACTTGTGTTTTATTGACTATGCAAAAACATTCAGTTGTGCAGATCATAACAAACTATGGGTAACATTGAAAGGAATGGGACTTTCAGAACACTTAATTGTACTCATGAGGAACCTATACGTAGACCAGGAGGCTGTCGTTCACACAGAACAAGGGGACACTGCATGGTTTAAAATCGAGAGTGTATCAGGTTGTATCCTTTCACCATACTTGTTCAATCTATATGCTGAGCAAATAATCTGAGAAGCTGGACTATATGAAGAAGAATGTGGCCTCAGGTTTGGAGGAAGAATCATTAACAACCTGTGGTATGCTGCTATATCATTCACAACTTTGCTTGCTGAAAGTGAAGATGATTTGAAGCACTTACTGGTGAAGACTGAAGACTACAGTCTGCAGTATGGATTATACCTCAATATAAAGAAAACAAAAATCCTCACAACTGGACTTATAAGCAGCATCACAATAAATGGAGATAAGATTGAAGTTGTCAAAGACTTCACATTACTTGGTTCTACAATCAGTACCAATGGAAGCACCAGTCAGGACATCAGACAACATATAGCACTGGGCAAATTGGCTGCAAAAGACCTCTTTGAAGTGCTGAAGAGCAAAGATGTCTCCTTGAGGACTAAGGTGCACCTGACACAAGCCATGGTATTTTCAGTTGCCTCATATGCATGTGAGAGCTGGACAGTGAATAAGGAATACCAAAGAAGAGTTGATGCTTTTCATTTGTGGTGCTGGCGAAGAATGCTGAAAGTACCATGGTCTGCTAAAAGAACTAACAAATCTGTCCTGGAGGAAGTACAGCCAGAATGCTCCTTGGGGGCGAGAATGGCCAGACTTCATCTCACATACTTTGGTCATGTTGTCAGAAGGAACCATTCTCTGGAGAAAGATATCATCCTTGGTAAAGTGAAGGGTCAACGAAGGAGGGGAAGGCCCTCAACGAGATGGATTGACACAGTGGCTGCGGCGATGGGCTCAAGTCTAGCAAGGATTGTGAAGCTGGTACAGGACTGAGCAGTCTTTTGTTCTGCTGTGCATAGGGTCACTATGAATTGGAGATGACTCAGCACCTAATAACAACAACTAGTAGTGAAGCACTTAACTGTTTGTGCCACCTAGAGTCACAGTGTCCCTAGGCTAAAAGAAATATGTTAACAGTCCAATTTATTAAGTAGTTATATCCTACTTAATAGTAGGATAATAAAACAACTTAATAGTAGTAGTTTGTGCAACAGATGTTGCTTGAAACTTTTAAATATCCTGTGGTGCTTTTGCAAGTTTCCTGTGTTGCTGTTGTTGTTGTTGTTAAGTGCCGTCAAGTCGTTTCCGACTCATAGCAACCCCATGCACAGCAGAATGAAACACTGCCCGATCCCGTGCCAGCCCCACAATCCCTGCTACACTTGAGCCCATCATCGCAGTCACCGTGTCAATCTATCTCGTTGAAGGCCTCCCCCTCTTTCGTCGACCCTCCACCCTACCAAGCATGACATCCTTCTCCAGGGAATGGTCCCTTCTTACAACATGACCAAAATAGGTGAGACGAAGTCTGGCCATTCTTGCTTCCAAGGAGCATTTTGGCTGCACTTCCTCCAGGATAGATCTGTTAGTTCTTTTAGCAGTCCATGCATGGTACTTTCAGCATTCTCCACTAGCACCACAACTCAAAAGCATCAACTCTTCTTCGGTCTTCCTTATTCATTGTCCAGCTCTCACATGCATACGAGGTGTTTGGAAATATCATGGCTTGTGTCAGGCGCACCTTAGTCCTCAAGGAGATATCCTTGCTCCTCAGCACTTGAAACAGTTCCTTCGCAGTTGACTTTCCCAATGCTACACGTCGTCTAATGTCCTGACTGCTGCTTCCGTTGGCATCGATTGTAGAACCAAGCAATGTGAATTCTTTGACAACC